TTTGTTTTCGCCGTTTTTTTTTTTTTTTTTTTTTTTTTTCCAAACTTGTGTGTTGGATGGGGGGGGCATCAGGCCAACACAGAGAAGCCCGCTCTAAATCGAAACGAACAGCAGGGAAGAAGTGCCTTGTTGTCCGACATAAGTAAAGGCGCCAGATTAAAGAAAACAGTCACCAATGACCGAAGTGGACCATTACTAGCGGGTGAGTGACACTTTTTTAACCCTAATAAGGAAAGGTGGCTAAAAATGGTCAATAATGAATTTTGGATTTTTTCTTTTTTTTTTTTTTCAGAACCCAAAGGAGGAGGTAGAGGAGGAGCTGGAGGAGGAGGAGGGGGCGGAGGAGGTAGAGGAGGAGGTGGTGGAGGAGGGAGTGTTGGAGGGGGTGCAGGTTTGGGAGGCCTGTTTGCAGGAGGGATGCCGAAACTGCGGTCTGCGACGAACAGAGACGCCACTGGTATAATAGTAAATTCATTCATTTTAGCGTTAAAAAAAAAGATGATGATAACAGTTGACAAATGTCAATCGATTTTAACCACACCCAAAAAAAATGAACGATCAGCACTCAAGTCACCTGACCATATTATTTTTTAATAATTACTTACCTGACTTGTCTTGTACCTACAGACTCACCAGGACCCAGCAGAGGACCCGTGCTCCCACCGACAGGCAGATTCAACAGCCCTAGCGCCCCAAGTGGGGGCATCCGTAGCCCCAGCTGCCCACCTAAATTCACAGGAGCCCCTCCGGGCAATCCTCCTGACCACCCCAAGGCACGGCGGAGTGTATCATCCAGACTGGACAACTCTGGATGTTCACCTCCCGCCTTACCCAACACACCGCGGCCAAACCAGGCCTTCCAGTCTCGCGGGGGGCCACCACCGCTCCCCGGAGGAGGAAGACCCAGCCCCTCTTCTGCACCCCCACCACCAAGCCTACCGGGAAGATCTGGACCTCCGCCTCCCGTCCCTGGAGGCCCTGTGTCGGGCTCCCGACCGAGTTTCTCTGCTCCCCCTCCTCCACCGTCCAACAGTAGCCGGCCTCCGCTGCCACCAACTCCTGGAGGAAGACCGCCGTTCGACGATCGCTTCCCGCCGCCTCCACCACCCGTGGGAGCTCCGTCACAATCGATGATCAATCGTGACCTGCCCCCTCCGCCACCGTCTAACAGCGCCAAACCTTTTCCTCCTGTTTCTGGCTCCTCCCCTCATGGCCCGCCCAGTTGCAGTCCACCTTCCCTGCCGCCAGGGCATCCAGGCCCTCCCCCGCTGCCCAACAGTCCAAATGTCAGGGAAGACCGCGGCAATCCACGACTGCCACAAAGGAATGCCTCGCTCAACAGGTTGTTTTTAAATTTAAATTTTTTTTTTTTTTTTTTTTAAATATTTGTTTATATAGGTAAAATAACATACTACTGTCAGGAACTACGCACACAGCATAGAGACACAAATACAATTCTGTATACACATACATCATCTGCTAGTTTCACAAATACCGGTAAGCATCAACATTTTTTTTAATCCGATCTCACGAAATATACCAAATAAATAAATAAATAAATTGTGATGTTCTCGTTTTGGAATTGAGATAAGCGCACTTGCGAACGATCGCTGCTAGCTTTGTTTACCTAGACGGGATCGTACACGTACTATTGGCTAATACCATGCGTACTCGGTGTACTATTGGCTAATTGAGCATGCTCTTCTGTTCCTCGCGCTGATTGGCTCATGCACCGTAGCATCTCTCAGCATCGCCCCCTGTCTGTCGGCCACTCTCTCGTTCACTCTCGCTCTGCGTCGCCATTCTACGACTCTACTGTGCAATTATATAATCGTGTCGGAAATGACGTGTTGATAACAGTGTGGGGGGGAGGTTCGTAAAGGGTATATATACACACGTAAATAATATAAATTAAAAATCTCGCCTCTACTTTGCGATTTTTCCCATTTATATATACAGAAATTGTATAAATAATTTGTTACACCGATAATATACCGAATATATATTATATATTCATTCTTCTGAGTAAAAATACATAACAATATAAACATATATACATCTATAATCTATAACGTAAAACCGTAACGTAAATCTTTCTCTCACCAGCCACAGCACAACTCCGCTTCATGCTCGAACAGGATCTCTGCCGCCTCCACCACATGAAAAACCCCCGACATTTGGCATGGCTCACTCCTCAGTACGAACAGGTAAACCTGCGAAAGTATAAAATCATTTATGAAATAATTCAGTTCGAACAGGTAAACCTGCGAAAGTATAAAGTATAAGTATAATCGTTTGAAATAATTCAGTTGGTGTATTGCATTTACAATATATATATCGTAACCATTTGGGGGGTTTTCTGTAATATTAAAATAGTGTACAATATATGTTTCTTTGACACAGAATTGCAACAAGTTTGTTGGTTAACCCTTCAAGTTCTTTTTTTTTTTTTTTTTGCATCCAAAGGTCCTCCTCCTCCTCCTCCTCCCTCCTCAAGTCGTGGAATGAGTGGAGGCACAAGTAGGCCATTGCCTACTCCTTCCCCAATCGGTCGACCGGGGCCTGACAGCTCACGTTGCCCAAGCAATAGACCTCCCCTCCCACCTGACAGGCCAAATACAGGAAGTGCCCTTGCTCCCCCAGTACCACCCATGAATAATGGCTTCCAAAACTCTCAGATCAATCAGTTACAGGGTGAGTAGGTGGTTAAGGCATCTACGCATGACTTTCACACATCATTTTTTCTTAATTCACACCAACGCTTCATAAACAAAGAGTCCAGTCGATTCAGTCAAAAACCTGCTACTTAAATTAGCTCCAACGTTTTTTTTCTGTAACCTTGTCATCTGGCTTATTTACAGCCCGGACATTTATAAAGGAAATAAACATGACAGAGGTGTGAAAATAATAGCACATCATACTTACAAATACTCACAAAATATTACATTTTGAATGCATGTCAGATTTTTTTTTTTGTCTACAGCTGTATATCATCGTGGTGGTTGGAAAAAAAAAAAAACAACCTTGTCTCATGTGTTTCTCCATTCATAGATGGCTGGGAATGCCGCTTCACTTTTCATTCCATATCAGAGCTTCCTCCACCAGAGCCCTACACACACATCCAGAAGACTTACCCCAGCAAGATAGCCAAGACTGAGGGCAGAGGTCAGATACATAATGAGCGGTAAAACGTATTCTAAAAGTAGTATAATAGTAGTAGTGTAATAACAAATGACGGTATCTTTTCAAAATGAGTGTGGCTAGCTAAGGTAATGCAGACTGTAACAAAATCACAAATGCTTCTTTTACCCAACTGCTATTGCTATGTATTATTAAGCCTCTAATACTTGAAAGTAGATGTGCCTTAAAAATAAGCTAAATTACAGTGTGAAAATGTTTTATTTTCTCATTTTGCACTCAGTTTACTTATTTGAATAATAATCTTAATTCTTATTTGAGAACGTCAGATTCTTCCTAATGCATTATATATATATATATATATATATATATATATATATATATATATATATATATATATATATATATATATATGTTTGTATATGTGTCTATGCACAAACTGAAAATATAAATCAAATTAAAATATTTTCTTTATTCCAGGTTCAGGTAAAAAGGAAAGAGGTGCTCCTCCTCTTCCTCCCATACCTAGGTGAAGAGATATTGGCCGGTATCAACGTCATTTGGTCGCCCTTATTGTTTGAGTCAAAACATTTGGGTCAAAGTCTAATGCTTTTTCTGAAAAATGTTCAACTGTGTTTAGACCCAAAGTGAAAAAAACATCCATTCCTACCTTGTTTATTTACGGAGCCCCTAAAGGAACATGGGGGGAAAAAAAAGAAAGAAAAGAGAAACATGTCCCTTTAGGGGTTCCGTATTTACTGTTGTTAATGGCTGTTGTTGTTAGCGTATATTTCATTTACCATTTAATTGTCATCAATCTGTTTGTTTTTTTTTTTGCCTCACACATTTTCCAAACTCTAGATCTTTCCTATTCATTTCTCATTCCATACTTTCCATGATTTACTTTATGTAAAGTCAACCCTGCCTTGGCATCGCGAGCTGTTTGATTCTGTCTACTATTTATGCTTTAATATTCTTCATGTTCATTTCCAAAAACACGCATTATCTCATATTGAATAAGAGCAAAATGAAACTCGATCAACGTTCATCTTGAGTGAAAAAACATCTACCGATCTTACAAATATTCATAAGTGGCCTTATTTCTGCGGGGTTACATGTACAGCTCATTCTCTTGGATTATGTCATAGGTCATATCGGGGGAGTACTGGCTAAAGCTATATTCAAATGTTCCAGGATAATCATGCAGTAAACAGAATGTAGAATACAAAATAATTTTGTACAATTTTGACAATTGTTTTCCCCCTCTGAGATTTTTTTCTAACTGGGCTAAAAATGGTAATGTCAGTAATATCGCAATCAGTGGAAAAAAAGTGATGCTTTTGATTATTACTGTAGGGGTTTTTTTTTAAAAAAAGTAAAAAAAATAGACAATTTCCTTTTTTTTTTAGACTTATTTAAACCTCAAAAGAGCCAAATACTTGCCTATAAAAAAAGTAAAAATTAAAAAAAAAATTTATTTCAAAGTAATTGTTCATGTTTACACACATAATCCCTTCAAAAAGGCTTGGGTTTTAGACTGAAAACTTTGAATGCACCGTCAGTGTCTTTATACCAACATCAGAACCTTTACTTGAAACTGTATCAAGTATTAAACTTGCTTTTCCTGCTGCATAAATGACCAGTGAGGGTGTGTTAACTGGTTTGGTTTGTAAATCTCACGTGTGCCTTTACAATGTCTGTTTTTTTTTGTTGTTTTTTTTTGACATGCGGATGTAGTTGAAACCGCTGAATGGTACTTTTCCTTTGATTGTAATGTGATGTGAGCCTGCAGTTAATGTTTCTGAATGAGATGTTGCTGGTTCTTGGTAGCACTTGGTACTTCAAAAAAAAAAAAAAAAAAATCAGGGACTTAATAGTGTTTTTCTTATGAGAATAAATACTGAGATTACACTGGGGTGATGCTGTGTCCACCTTGGTCAGCTCTCTCTTAGCCAAACACGGAAAAGGTAGAAAAGTACTACTAGCAGACCACTTCAGCAGACAAACTTTTACAAATGAATACAATTTCAACATTTTTTTCCACCTGGGAAATATAGTATTTGAATGTGTTGGTCGAAGAAAAAAGTCGTAACAAATGAAACATGAAAGTTTATGTCAGGGGTGTCAAACTCATAGAACCTAATTAGATTATCTATAAATAACAAAAAAGCTGTCATTTCCTGAACATGAAGCAATTGTGTATTTCTAATCATTGTAAAATTCATCAAACGGGCCGAATTGAAACCCCAAGCGTTATGTTTGACACCCCAGGGTTTACGTCAGTTGAAAAAGCAAAGATGCTCGATGTTTGCTTGAAACGATGTATAGAAATGTTCTATCTATTGCAGAAAATACCATAATTTTATTTTTAACAATAAGGTCTAGTTTTTTTTATTGTCATGTTTTCTATATTTGCACAATAAAACTGGGCAACAATTTGACGCAAGTCTCCTTCAAGAAGTCTCCTTGACATTTGTCAGTAAATATACAGTACATGTACTCCTAGTACCTACTGTATGACCGCTCCAGCAGGCAAAACTCTAACCACATTAACAAGTGTGACACAACGTCACACAGATCTGCTGCAACAGGCTGCCCCCTGGAGGTGCCAAGCAGATAGTACACTACGAAACCAATGTTATGACATAACATTAGAGAACTAGTGCCAAAATGAGTCAAACAACAAAGAAGCATACTGTCACCCCAAGAAAGAGTCACTTACAGTTCCTTATATAAAAAAAAACAGGATAATATCTGTCCGGCTAAAGTTGGTTTTTCAATATTTGATCCTGATATTTCGATCATTATCGGACCGATACTGATCCTGAGTACTGAATCGAGTCATTCCCAGTACAAAACAATATTGACCTACGTATGCACAGGCATGCAATGGTGGATACCAGTAATGGGTCGGTCACAAACGAAACCACTCCTAGAGCTAGCTTTCTGACGTGAACTACTGGAGCTAGAGCTAATAAATCATGAGGAAAAACTGCAGTATAAAGGCTTTATTTCACAGTATATCATAGTACCAATATAGTTATAAATGTATAAATATACTATTAAATAACACTCTTCTGAATTGCACAAATCATCGATCAACACCAATAACCCATTTTCCTGTTGAAGGAAGCAGATGATTGGCTGTAGTTTTCCCTGACCTAGAATTGAACAAGAACCACTTTACAGCAAGATAACGTAAAATAAAAGTAGCCGCAGGCGTTTTACATAAAACATGTCGAATGAAGTGTTGATTTATTCTGTGGCGTAACTTCAACAGAAGCCAATCGGGCAGCACGGGAGAAGAGAACCGATCAATTTAGTGAATGTCTGTAAGGAAGGTTAAACAACAATTGAATGGCTTGAATCCTTGAATTTCAAATGTATCGCACCACAAATTAGAAGCACAGAAAGTGCTCGAAATATGGATCAGTTAGTAACGAGATCGACGATCGGTAAGTACAGGGGGTCGTCAGCTAGTCGAAATTCCATTACTATGACGCCATTAGATTTCCGCCGTAAGTGAGAACACACATACTGTACATCAGTACCTATGTCATTCACCTACACTAACACAGTGGTGACATCATAATCTAGGACATAAAAACACCAGAAGAGTCTGACTTACACCTGGGAGTCATAATGAAGGGCAAAAAAAACCCAACACAAACCAATGAAAGTGATTGTAGTACAATCCGATTGAACAACTGGCAAATGTAAACAAAGCCGCCTTCCGCATGTAGCACCGCATTCATCCACTGTACTCGCCAACTAGAAAAATACTTTAAAGTATGGCAAATGGTGACGTAACCACGAAACACCATAGGCTGCTGTACTCGCCAACTAGAAAAATACTTTTAAAAAAATGGCGAAGTAACCACAAAACACCATAGGCTAAGGATGTACGACAGAGGACTTCCTGCATTCAAAATGTCTTCTACAATAAAACTTGAAAATGAAAACATTCATTTTAAGGCACTCAACCCACTCTGATGAAAAGGTATGACAGTACTGTGTAAGACTTAAAGGACAGAATCAGTATTTTATAGACACCCTTTGGTCAGACCAATCACCACGTCTCTCTCAACACATCAGTAAACAAGTAACACGTTCATGTACCAACACTTTACATATATAGATATATAATAAATACATTTTAGGTGTCCTTAAAATAAGATGAAAAAAGTGAGGAAACTCTCTGATGTTGCTGAACTATTGTCGGTATCAGTCATCTCCCAGAATTCCATTGGGCAACGCTCAACGTCAGCTACATTTAAGACTATTTCAACCAACAGATAACTACAGTAGGGCCTGTCTTGTAAAACTTCACTCTCAACTTGCTTGTGCTTTTGAGCCACATTCGTGAAGCCATGACATGGTAAAGGTCCATTAATAGACCTGGACTTTTAGAAGAGACCAGGAGCCTCATCATGGAATCACCGATTTTTCCGCTCTGGCTTTACTTCTGTTTTTGGCGTTTGATTGCCGTCTACACCGTCCACCCTGAGGTGATCTCTGCTGTAGTGTTTGATCAGCGCTCCAGGGATAAAAGCCATCAGAGCGATGGCCAGGAGCTGAGCCAGTGTCCTCCATGAAAAGATGTCATCCAATGAGGTGATCTCTGAGAGTATGGCGCCCGTACGAACACAGATGAAATTGTATGGAATCAATCCTGGAGGAAAAAAAGGTAGGATCTGAGTGATCGAGGTGTAACTTTAGTTTAAAAAGATGGCCGACGTGCCGATTGTTAGTCGAGGAGGCAAATAGCAAAAACGTATAAGAAAGACATGCGGTTATACACAAAAATTTAAAAATCACACCCTTCACTTGCAACCAGCCTCCTCCTGGACTGTCCAGCTGTCAGTCACATGACATCACCTCATATGGGCAAAGCCTGCAGTGTTACATCTTCTGTTCCCGTCAACATTTTTATCAACTCTTCAGGAGAGTTCACAGATTCAACAAATATAATTTCCAAAAACGTGGCTCATTTTATTAACTAATTAAACTATGTTTTGTGGTAAAATAATTTTAAAAATAATTTTCACTCACCGTCGCCATCTGCAAAACACTCTAAAACGTTGAGACAGAGCCAAATTTCTTTTGGGTAATAGCTTGGAAACTAGAACTATTGAGTGGAATTTGTGGAATTTGTCTGTTAATTATTGTTTCCTTTGGGGAGATTGTGACAAAAATTCAAACACACGCTTGACATTTCAAAATGCAACTCCACAACCAACAAGCAACTCCCCCCTGCATTCCTACTAACTGATATTTTCATCACCTGTTGCCTTCACCAACATTTCCATCCAGCTCAGCACTTTAGACTTTAGATAACAAGACACCCTACATAAAAAAAAAAATCAGACTCAACTTCCAGTTCAAGCTCACGTTCTTTATTCCAGTTCCACTTCTCTTCCTTTCTACACCACGGTAAACCATCTTATGATACCTTCCTATGTCCCTGGCCTTTCTTTCTCTATCATGTCTGCCAGCTCTCTATCTTTACCAGTCATAGTCCTAACATTCAAAGACCCCACTCTCACCTCTATTCTCCAGTCTTTACTATTTTCTTGTGCCACCTTGCACACCTTTCTCCTCACCCGGCAGTCGTCAAACATTAGGCCAATTTCTACAAATAGCCTGTTGGTTAACGTCAACTGAAGGAGCCGTCATTAGCCCCAGTTAGATGTGAAAGTGTTTGTAATCGTTAATTTGAATATTGTTAGCCTTGCGTGCCCCCTAGTGGCTGCTTAGCATTGGATATAACATTCCAAACACATCCAAAAGCATTCGTGTTGTTTTGAATTTGAATCTCATCCTGTTAGTTGGATGCTCTTTAGGACACAAACATACAGTAGCCATGCTTTATTTTGTGTTTGTTGGTCTCACCTATAAAGACAGAGAAGAAGAAAATAGGCATAGGGATGTTGAGGACAGGGCAGGAGATGTTAAGGAACCAGTTAGGAGTCATAGGAAAGAAACGTAGAAAGAGTAGAAAGAAGAACAGACTGCTACGATTTTCCTCCACCTGACAAAAAGGAAAGGGATAAATGAAACTCGGTAAAATAAATAGAGGGAACGCATCAATGTAGACCAAGTTGTGACATATTGTCTTATAAATATGGGTTTTTGGCCCTAAAATGTATTAAATATAATACTTGGGATTTTTAAGATTGTAAACAAGGATTTTGTAAGAGAAAAGATGCCCAAGCCACCCCTGTTGCCTATCAAATGTATTGCATCTAATGAAGTAAATCTACAAAATAAAAGTGTCTTAGTACTGTATTAGTAGGATGTAGAATGTTTAGGCGAAATAATATTAATAAAATGTACAACAATAAACCTAAGCCTTGAAAGAAAATTTGGCAAATCTCTGTCACCATCTAGTGGCATCAACCAGATTACAGCCCCTTCTTTGTAACGCATGAAACTAAATTGACCAATTCATTAATCCCCCAGGGCAATTTTTAAGTTATTTAATAAATCAATTCTAATTCATTTTTTGGTTCGTTTAGTTTGCGTTTAAATTACAATGACATACACATATTAATAATAAGTTAAGGGGACAAAATGTCGGAAGCACAAGCCCACAAGTTTATCATTGAAAGAAGAACGCTAAAGGAGCTAATGCTAAATGTTCACTGACGTCTTCTACAGGTCACACTGACACTGAAACTGTCCGATAAAAAAGGTTCAAATTAAATTAAATTAAAAAAAAGACATCGTCCTGACGCTATGTTTACATGCGAAAAGCATAATGTAACTTCAGGTGAACGCAGTGTAACTTGTCACGTCCTCTCCGTGAAAGCCGAAACAATTAATTGCAAATGACACGCTAACATTTAATGTCCTATCAATTCAGGAAAACAATGACGTAATTTAATTTAGTATTCACCTTTACTTTGACGAACAATGTCAAGTGGTTGTCCCGCCGGTGATGAAAAATACTGGATGTATTTCCTCCTTTCGCCGCATTTTCATGGCATACTTTAAATGTTGGCAAGCCGCAAGACACGACCTCTGTCATTTTCTTCTGTAGCCAAAATACTCCCACACGGCTAATTTAAATTGTTTTTCACGGAATAACTCTTCTTTTGCCAATTTACCCACTTGGTCACGCCTCTCTTTTCCAATTTACAGGGACCGAAAACAAAGCAACGCGTTGGTGTTGTGTAACGTTGTTTTCGTTCCGTGTGAGTTGGGCGGGAATAATAAAAACGTTACGATAAATTACCTTTAGCGCTTAATACCGCTGTTAATAGTAATACAGAGTATTCGTGACATCCCTAATGTACACACTGTATAACGTTGCGCAGAAATTTACCCTTCTTTGCAGCAGAGCCACCTTCTCAGGGAAGAGCTGCACCACATAATGTTTCCCAAATGCGGAGGACAACAGGAAGCAAAATGTTGAGCCCACAGTGGCGAGCAGGCAGGCTAGAAGCAGGCCCTCCCAAGGCCCAAAAATTGCTCCAGCCAACATGTTCTAAAAGTAAAGATATACAGAAAGGATGAAACGGACAATTTATGGTCATCTAGTGCTGATAAAATACATAAAATTTTTAAGAATAAGTCTGATATAGTTTAACTCCTTAAAACAGACACACAAAAAAACATCAGACTGCAAACAGACAAGTTATTCACTCATTCATTTTATGTTACATGTTTAACGTTTTCCTTAAAGTCGAATATACATCTACTCTACGCCATAGAATAATGACAGACAGAAGTGCATATAAATGGGTTATTCAATGGCTAAAATAAATGACTTCAAAATGACTCTCAGGTGCAGTCGCTCTACATGTAAGGTCAATAAACACTGGTCCTTAATAATAATAAGAACTTACTTCATGTGAATGTGATAATTATTCTCACCAGGAATGATGATCCAGGGATGGCAAAGGACTGCTTATATAGGTAAGCACTACAGAAGAGCAGAAGAACGTAGCCATGATGCTCTTGTTTATAAAACTTGAGCGTATCCGCAAGCTCCCGCAGCTCATCCAGGTCTGACGGAAACGTGAGCCTGGACAAAAAAAAATACAAAATTACAACATCCACATTTAGACAAGACTGCATACATTTTTTAAATGTTTTGTTTCCTCCATCCTGCCCCCTCTTGCTAATTTATCTATGGATTAGAAACTAAAATTTGAATATATATGTATATATACACAAAAACTCAATACATCTCTGTTGCTCAGACCGTACGTGCCAAAAATTACAATTACAATTCCGATGCACAATTATATTGTTGATGTTCCTGAATGACGGTGACCCCTGAACTTTGCTGCTCCTGTGTCATGGAACTTGATACCACCACCATGCGTTACCACTGTAACCCAGGAAAAACTCTCAAGAAGCTTTCACAGAAAGAGCCCAAATTTACGTTTTCAAAGTCTTGATTGGAAAAAAAAAAGATATCGAAGTCAATCAACCGATTTTAAAAGGAAGAGATGTTACTTAACGTTCAAAAGTAAATGCAGTGTTTTCATTTATTTGTTTTTATTCATAGACTTTTTCACTTTTTCGAGTTGGAGTTTGGAGTCGGCTGAAACTGATAGTAAACTAAAAGTCAGTAGCTCAGAAGGACATCTGGTATAAAACCTGTGACAAATCAATATGAAGACTACTACTGTGGTGTGATATTTGTTTTTGAAAGACAGAGAGAGAGAGAAAAGAGAGACAGACAGAGACAGAGAGAGAGAGAGAGAGAGGGAGAGAGAGAGTCCATTTTTGGCTTCAAAGTATCTTGGTTGGCGTAATTCAATCATCTATGGACCACTGCAGACTTGACTGGGACATTTTGCATGCATGACACACACACACACACACACTCAGAGCAGTAATGTGATCAGTTGGGTGACCTAAGACGATGGAAGCCGACGTTGCCAACTGCTGACACCTTGTATGGGATGTTTTTTCTCTTTTAAATGTTATTTAGTATTATTATTATTATTATTATTTTTATTATTACTTGGAGTGTTTTTGCCTGGATTACAAAATGCCATAATTTGCATCCAATATCCTGAATCACCAGTCACTGCAGTCACTGCAACATTTACTGCACAGTAGTTTTCCTACAGCTAACACAGGGCAGCCAAAAATCAACAACATCCTGTAGTTACATGTTGTTTGTTTATGTCCTTTGCCATTGACCCTCTCTGATTTCACAAAAATAACTTTCATCAGATATAAAAATAATTGCTTCGTTTTCTAGCGTTAGTCAAAGCTAACACAGTATTCCAAGTATGTACATGGAAAAAGGTGAAGGGATTTTATGGTTTGTTTACTATAATTGGAATTCAAGGATTGTTTTGTCTTGAACTCATTTATCACTATAATTACATATATATATTAACAATTTTTAATAATGATTATTTTTATTGCATTGTTCTGTATTTTACTGGTTATATATGACTCAAAAAACTTAAATGCTTCACATTAACTTCAGGTGTCCAATGAAGTGCCTGATGGTACTGAGTTAATTAAATACAAAAAAAAACAAAAACAAAAAAACAACCCAAACAAAAACAAAACAAAAATAGTTTAAAAATATATATTAAATGTGTTTTTCATCCACATACATTATATTCTGTCGTCCTGCTTTATCTGTCATAACCAGCAATTTGATCAAAACAAATGTAAGACCATTAATATAATGTTTTCTTTTTAAAAATAAAGAATGAATTGACTTATTAATTAATTAAATTCCACCATTTGTCACTAAAGGTACATTTTTATCTTCCAATAAAATTTTGAAGTTATTTTATTCTCGTTTCCGGTACTGTAACTGATACAGTTCTCTGTTTGGGGAAAAGTACAATTTTGCCAGAGAGTTAAAAAAAATATTTTTTAAGATTTAAACTTTATTATTTTCCGTTGTTTCAACCCAGGTTCGCGGTCAATTCTCTGTTGTCCGTGCAGGTAATATTAGTATTTACCTGCACTGACCTCAAGTAAAGTCTTAAACGGCTGACCTGATCTTCGGGGGTTCCTGTACTTCCTCCTGCCCCTTCCTGACAGCCGAGCTCGGCGGCAGATGAGTGGACAGCAGGTAGAGAAACACAGTAGCCGCAGCCACGATGGCAGCCAGTCCCGCTAAAGAACGCATGTTTCTGACTTGCTGTAGCTTCAGTTCGTTTACTCGAAGACCCAGGAACTCGGCACGGTAACGTGTTGTCTCGGTTTGACGGAGGTGACGTTTGCTCGCAGATCGGGTCACCCGTACGGGGTTTCCCGCATGACGGTCCACTGGTGTCTATGACAAACACGTTCATAGACACGGACAGAGAACTCGTGGGGGGCCCAGCTGTACAGGCTCGTCACATGACAGTCTACTCACACTTGGGATTTAAACGTCTTCATTTTACTGCTGCTTCAGCCACTGACGCTACGACACGCCTCATTAAAAATAAAAATAAAGTCACTTCGCCTTACCGTGTGCAATTTGAGTCTTGGAATATCATTAAGGAAAAGTTGGTAGAAAGTCACAGCCTCAGTATGCACTTTCATAAAGGAGACACTAGAGGGCGACGTAGTAAAATCACACATTATTGTCATCAAGTGAAATTTGGACATCTACGTAAAATGGGGGTTTCTCTCCAGTCTAAAGTAGGACCGGAAGTCCCGGAAGTAAATAAAATATATAAATGGTGGACGAGAAAGAAAAAAAAAAGCTCACATCAATAAAATATATAAATGGTGGACGAGAAAAACTGATGTGAGCTTATATTAACACAATTAAACAATTACAATGACAATAAAGACTATATTAATAATAATGATAATAATAATATCAACTAAATTACTGTAATTGAAGTGGAAAGAAAATAATTAAAAAATACCGTATGATGTGGGAAAAAAAAGAATGAGGTGAACATCTATTTATTGTGGTTGTAATGTTACATTAAATGGCATCATTACTATGTTCAATATAAACCGTTTGATTTTTATTATTTAATTTGAGGATTTTGGCATCGGCAGATTGAAGGAAAGCTGCGTTTATCCACTGGGTTTTTCCACATCTGTAAAAGAAATATAAAAATATTTGGTGAATAAAAGTGTTATTAAAATAATAAAATGAAGATATATGATTTTTATTGTAATCATTCAAACACTATTTACATTATTTAACAATGTAAAGAGGAAAAATAGTTTGGTTTTTTCCCCACATCTAATGACATGTTATTGACATTTAAGTTTGACCCAGTGTAGAGCACAGATGCAGCTGCAACAGAAGGTAAAATGCATCATGCATCATCATACCAGAAGGACTGCGAGACGGTTGTGGCTCCGGAACTTGAGGATCTCGAGGTTTGACCAATATCAACAGGGCAACATCCTCTGGAATAACTGCAGCATATGAAAACAAGCAGTGGCAGTTGGCTGATTATACACTAAATTTATTAAATTTAATAAAATTATGGCTCCGGAACTTGAGGATCTCGAGGTTTGACCAATATCAACAGGGCAACATCCTCTGGAATAACTGCAGCATATGAAAACAAGCAGTGGCAGTTGGCTGATTATACACTAAATTTATTAAATTGAATGAAATTAGTCCGTCCATCTATCTATCTATCTATCTATCTATCTATCTATCTATCTATCTATCTATCTGGTTTTGATTCTTTATAAACTGGAACATACCTTCGTCACTGTCAGCATACTCTGAGGACGACGTACCGAGCAAGAGCATTAGGCCAAAGAAGAAAGCGATGGTTTTCACTTTCATTTTCTACGATAGAGGACACAATTCATTCACAACAACTTTGTTCATTTTGAAAAGACGAGGGCAACGTTTAATTGTACTCACCCTTGAATTTTATTGGGGTCGTGTCACAGAAATCCTAGTTATCGTGTCTTCACACTGACCGAGCCCAGATGTAGCTGACGGGGACGTCTGTTGCTGCGATGATATAAGTCGTTGAAATATGTCACCAAACCACCCGGTTCACTCATGAGCAAAGTCAGTTCCAAAAATAAACCAAAAACAAGGTTGGGAACAAGTCGCCTGTGTCGAGGTTATAGTGTGTGGATAAACTTACTCATCGCCTCACCGCTTACAGCAGTGTTTAAATGATTGACGTGTTAGCGTTGACATGTTAGCGTTGATCTATTTTATCCTCTTTCTAAAGTGACTTTCTCTGTTTGAAAAGACTTGGCCGCTACGAATGCTCTATTTCAACCGAGTTTCTTAAGATTTTTAAGATATCTCATAGAGCAGTAATTATCAACTGGCGGCCCGAGGGCCCAATTCGGCCCAAAGAATTGTCCAATTTGGCCTGTGCTTGGATTGCAAATCAAAGAGGAAATATTATGAGGTTCCCACTAAATAAATAAAATAAAATAAATATATAAACAATAAACATCAAATAATAATTTTATACAACAATTAGTGAGTGTACAGTCTTTCATGCTAGCTAATTCGTTCCTAAAGGTCGTAAGGCTGTGAAGTTTTTGGTTCACGAACGGCCTTCAGAAACGAATTAAGTTCAAAAATTCCAAGTTCCACTGTAGTACTTTTACAGGTTCTTTGGTGTGGTTTTGGAGTTACACTTTGTAGTAAACGGTTTCCAACCACACCACATGTCCATACATGTTGGACAAAGTACAAGAAAAAACAAACTGGATCAGGCCAGTTACAAAAAAAAAAAAAAAAAAAAAAAAAGGACAA